TGAACCAACATGCTCACTTTGAGAGGGGGCGGGCTTGTCATTAGTGATGACAAAACACACACTCTCTGGCCCCGCCCCCTTCTTAGGGGGCCGCTCTGATTGAAAAATGCCCGGGCCTAATTTTTTTCCCAGTCCGGCCCTGGGTTGCAGAGAGGGTGTGTTTAGAGAATGTTGTATGTGTTTGCTGACAAGGAATGTAGTGTGTGTGTGCAGGAGATCTACTGTGTAAAGGACCGTGTGTGTGTGTGTGTGTGTGTGTGTGTATATAGAGGATAAAGAGTGCATATAGAGTAAGGGATCTAGTGTGTATCTGGAGAGTAATGTGTGTAGTGGTGCAGTGTGAGGGGTGCTGTAGTGTGTGTGTGTGTGTGTGTGTGTGTGTATGTGTGTATATATATATATATATATATATTTGGACTTATTGTATGTGTGAGGGGCGCAGTGTGTGTATGTAAGAGGGGTGCTGTGTGTGAGGGTGTTTTTATCTGCTGTCACATTCTAGGTTTCTAATTTTCTTTGTCTGTTAACTCACTGAGGGTTATTTTATATATATATATATATATATATATATATATATATATATGTGTGTGTGTGTGCTGTATATGTGTGGGAGTGTGCTGTGTGTGTCTGGGTGCTGTGTGTGTCTGGGTGCGCTGTGTGAGTCTAGGTGCGCTGTGTCAGTCTGGGTGCGCTGTGTGTGTCTGTGGGTGCAGTGTGTGTCTGTGGGTGCAGTGTGTGTCTGTGGGTGCAGTGTGTCTGTGGGTGCAGTGTGTCTGTGGGTGCAGTGTGTCTGTGGGTGCAGTGTGTCTGTGGGTGCAGTGTGTGTCTGGGTGCGCTGTGTGTGTCTGGGGGTGCTGTGTGTCTGGGGTGCTGTGCGTGTCTGGGGGTGCTGTGTGTGTCTGGGGTGCTGTGTGTTGGGTGCTGTGTGTGTCTGGGGTGCTGTGTGTCTGGGGTGCACTGTGTGTCTGCGCGCTGTGTGTGTCTGGGTGCGCTGTGTGTGTCTGTGGGTGCGCTGTGTGTGTCTGTGGGTGCGCTGTGTTTGTCTGGGTGCGCTGTGTGTGTCTGTAGGTGCAGTGTGTGTGTCTGTAGGTGCAGTGTGTGTCTGTAGGTGCAGTGTGTGTGTGGGGGTGCTGTGTGTGTCTGGGTGCGCTGTGTGTGTCTGGCAGTGCTGTGTGTGTTGGGGGGGGGGTGCTGTGTGTGTGTGAGTGAATGTATTTTTTTATTTAAATTTAAAAAAAAAATTTACTAATAAAAAAAAAAAATTATTTCCCCCCCTCCCTTCTTACCTTTTTCCTGGGAGGGGGAGGGGGGGGAGCCGTGCCGTTCTGCCATGAGGAGGGGAGCCGTTCTGCCATGCTTCCCTGGTGGTCCAGTGGTGAGAGTGAACTCTAACCTGCAGGTTAGAGTTCACTCTCGCGAGATCTGAGCGTTGCCGCGGCAACGCTCAGAATCCCGCGAGAGGACCCGGCGGAGCTGCTTGTTAGAGCTCCGCCGGGTCCTCTCTCCTCCCTCACCCAGCCGGCGGCCGCATTTCCATGCCTCTGGGCCGGTGAGGGTAGCGCTGGCCCTGCAGGGGAGATTCTGTGATCTCCCCTGCCGGCCTCGGCCCCACGGCCATCGCGGCCCACCGGGCATTTGCCCGGTATGCCCGATGGCCAGTACGGGCCTGTCCGCCTAGGTGGGGGTGCCGAGCCAGAGCTCTAACTGGTGATTGTGCCCTAGGAGCGGGTGATGCAGGCCGCTGATTCAGAGCCTCCAGCAAGCTGCAACTGTCCCACTTGGCGTCCAAGCCCTCCCACCCTTGCTTGAAAATGATTAAACATTGGGATTTGTTAGAACAAAAACTATTGTTCCAAAAGTATTATTTTATCCAGATGTGCACTACATCTCTTATAAGTCTCTTACAACCATAATGCTAACAAAGTTTACAACATCTGGGGTGTTGAAGGTTGCATACCCCTGGTGTACAGAAATATATATTTATAAAAAATAATGTTTGTATTAGATTTGATATGGTGTCCATTGTTTACACTGGACATTCTGCCGAATACATAGTGCACTGTATTAGAGTTTGATGTGTTGTGCAGAATCTGGGATTTATATAGTATAAATACTATTGTTTGACCCCCGATTTTTCTTCTTCTTCAGAGATGCCATAATTTCACGGCCCATTTTTTTAAATAATAATTTCAAGAAATTCAGTTATCAACATTGCTACATGTGGAGGTCACTGATTTACTTCCTTTTTGTTAAAATATTTTTACTCAACTAAAATGAAATCAGAGACCTGTGCATCTCTTATGCTTTTCCTGCCTTGCTGAAACCTGCTCGTTTCTTGACATACACATACACACATACACACATACATACATACATACATACATACATATACACACACACACACAAAAAAAAATGGAGACTTGTGACTCCATCTGAATTTCATGTTAATTTAGCCTTAGACCTGATCTTAAAAATGTGGGCACTTTCGCTCACAACCAGACATTATTGGTCGGACATCCTTTTATCAAACAGCCACCAAATATTTTCCCGGATCAGACGAAGCCTTTCCAGGACATGTTCTAATATGTATCATATTTAATATCACCATCACATTGTGCATTATGCCTGGTATCCCATTAGTTTGAGGAAACACTAATGCACCCTGAATATCAGAGTGGTATTGGCCAGACATGATGATAATGGACATCTACTGCTAAGAGGATCAAATATTGGCCAAGTACACATGCAGCTCAATTCAAGAACATTTTTTTGTTTGAGCCAATTCTGCTGATGAAAAAAAAAGGGGGAGGGGGGTAAGCAGGAAGACATCCAGTAGAGTAGATATAAATAAGCTGAAAAGCTGAATGAAGCAGACAAATAGTTTATATAGTCAAATATGGTCCAATACACAGGTAGTTTTTAACCCCTGAGTACAAAATGTTACACACTACAATTTGCCTTAACTATTGTATGAAAGGGGTTCTTGGCATACAGGAAAACACACTGGGTATAGAGGACTTAATTCATACATAGCTAGACCAACATATGTTTCTGTCCACTCTGCATTACCAATAATTACCACAAGAGGGATTTGGTTCCAAAATGCTTTGCTTGATCAAGTTAGGACTGCTGGATACTGATAGAATAGCTACAGTGGTTGCAAGTAGACAAGAAGTTCCTGGGGGTCTCCTAATCTCTGCTGGTTAAGACAACACGTTAACACCCCCTGCCCCCACGTGCCCTCTTCCCCCCAAAAAGAGCTTGGCTTCAGATGTTTAAGACCAAAATAATCTCCAGTTCAGCTACTTTAACCTTATATTTGCCATTTCTTTGTTACATCTTCCCAAGTAAAAGGATGTAAGGAGCACAAAATACACACTGGTAAAAAACGAAAAAACAAAAAAACAAAACAACAAAACAAAACATGGAAATCTGAGATTTTATTAAAGTTAATATTTTCATACTATTAACAAATTAGTCAAGTATTCTATAAAGCCCCAAAAAAAGGGTAGATCTGGTAGTCTCTTCCCGAGGAACAGTCTGCTCTGTTTAACCAGGGCAATCAGTATTTAGCTGGTACAGTTATTCAAATTAACTAATTTTTTTGTCTTTTGAAATTAGATTAATACTCTATTATTAGAAAAAAGGACCAGAGTTACTTGAAGCAAAAAAAGACAATCAACAGAGGT